TCTATTTTGGTTGAGGTTTATTTTTTCTTTTTGGTACTGAGGATGAAACCCAGTGTTTCCAGCTTACTAGGCAAGTGTTCTACTACTAGCTAAATTCCCAATCCTACTATGATTTTTTTAAGCCAGTCTATTGATCTATGTCTGATATTGCTTCCAATAATTTTACTATTATAAACAGTTATAAATGAATACAATTAAAAAATCAGAAATGCTAATGCTATACACTTTTCTCTACAAATAAACCCAAAAATCCAAGTATAACAGATGATTTTCTATGAATACATAAATTGTAACCAATTGATACCAAAAAATTATAATCAATTGATTCCAAATATCACAAAGATTCATAGAAAAAGAAAACAATTGAGTGATGAAATCACCAAAACTAGCTGGAATTACCGGCAGATTGGTAGTGGTGAACCTACGGTTTTCTGAAGGAAAAAAAGAAAAAGAAAACAGACCAATCTCATGGTTATCAGCAGAAGAATTCTAAGTAAAATTTGACAAACATAATCTATTTTAAAAGAACAACACACCAAAATTCCAGAATAATTCATCCTAGAAACTCATATTAATTTTTATCATGAAATCTAATAATGTAACTACAACATTACTGTTTAAAAAGAGGGAAAAATATACCTAACCACCTTCATAAATTCCCAAAAAACATGATAAAGATCATGCATTTTTTTTAATTCTCATTAAACAAAAAAAATCTCATAAATGGGACTAAATCAATGCTCCCTTGAGGTGCTCTAGCTGGAGATAAAGAAAAAACAAAAAGCTTTTTTTAAAAAAGTAAAAAATCAACATAAAAACAGAAGCAGTAAACTTAAGTCATTGTAAATACTAACACTAGAATATCTGGTTTCAAATTTCATATAACTTTAAACAAATTACCTAACCTCCCCATACCTTTAGAGAAGAGTTTTCACACCTGTAAAATACAATAATAATACCCATTTATGGGAAAGTTACATGGATTGAATGAATCAATTATATACACAGTGCTTAGAACATACTTAGTACACAGTGCTACATGAATGCACAATATGCAAAAGGCAAGATTCTGAATGTTGAACCACCAAAGCCATTTACCTGAAAGTCAGGAATAAGAAATGAACACTCAAAGTCAACACTACTATTTAAATTTTCATTGTTAGCTAGCCATGTGACCCATCAAGAGAAAACATAGTTTATAAATATAGAAAAGTAAAAGACAAAGCTATCATTATTTGCAAAACAATGACAACATACTGTTCCTGAAAATATCAACAGAATTCACTGGAAACCTACTGGAAGCAAATAGAAATTTAGTAGATTTAGTTAACACATTTGCTCTCTCAAAGGGGAATCTAGATAAATATGAAAACAATCTCAAGGTAGCATAATCGGGGGGGCCGAGACTTGGAAAACTCACCTTGGCAATGTAGTGCAGGAGATGCCCACGTGCCCAGGGGGGTACAGCGTGACACAGCATCTTCTGGGAGCCTGAAAAATCCTTCTTTGCAACTATAATGGACCTGGCTGCCCAGCCTTGAGCTGTAATTCCCTATAATGTAGCCACCGGGGACCTCTGGAGGGGGGCCGCAGTCTATTTCTGAAGACCAACACATGACAACTCTATTAGTATGTGAACATATTATTTGCAAAGCTCACAATCTTTCTCCTCCTCCCCGTTCTTCACATCCACATCCCAGCCTCTATTCTAAGTGCACTTGTTCTTGTCCACCTGATTTCTAGGCGTGTTTCCCATGGTGGTTTTTATTCACCCCTTTGACCTTCCATAAATAATGGCAGCTACATATGAACAAATCTGAAAACACTTTAGCAATCAGTACTCATGAATTTATACTAATTAGGGGCCAGGAAGACAGCTCAGGGGCATAAACACCTGCCTGCCCAGCGCAAGGTCCCAAGTTTGATCCCCAGTACCACAAAAATAAAGTTAACTAGTTTATACTAACTATAATTTCAGGATCACTTTAGTGATTCTGGGGCTTTACTACAGGACCTGCGTTTACTATCTAACATAGTGGCTAATATCAAAATATCTATTAAACTGGGTATGGTGGTAAATGACTATAATCCTAGTACTCAGGAGGCAGAAGCAGGAGGATCACCACAACTTTGCAGCCAGCCTGGGTTACAAAAGGAATTCAAGATCAGACTAAATTGCACAGCAAAGCCTATCTAAAAAACTAAATAAATAAA